AAACTTCCATTGACTCCAGGAGATTTAGAATTATATTGCACACTTAATTTTCCTCCCCCTTCTACCTCCCAACTTCCTCTTTTGTTTCTTCTGGAACTTATTTACTCATCACTTTAGCCATTCCATATCTGGTCCCATGAAACTGGGAATTAAATGGAGCATTAAGAAAGAGAACTAAATAGATGTCCCTCCAGCCATTATTATTGTTTGCACTTCCTATTTTAAATGACATTCCTTCCTGCCCCTTTTTCATCATCTTCTTTAAGACTTTTAATCCCTTTTAGACAAGTATCCTATTTTATCCATTTATACAGAAACAAATATGACAGCAGAGTGAAGTGCGATGCTACTTGTTAATACCAATTGCAACCACCTGTATTTCCAGCTGTTCTGAGAAATACTACTTCAGGAGAGATCCATCTCTAGAAAACCACTATTTAATGGTTAACATAACTATTTCTTAATTTTTAAAGACCCAAACAGCAAATATAAGAACACACTATACATGTAAAACCCAACAACCCTTAATCTGTTTGGAGAACACTGGTATCTTGAGTTTAGATTTAGAATACTTTAGAAAATTCTATTTAAATCACAGAAATCTAATCTTAGTATGTTTCTATTGGAACTGAAGTGAGTGAGTACTCCAACCAAGGGAATTTCACATACAAAATGTCTTCATTTTAAAGTGAAGGGGAAAAGACATTAACACAAGAAATACTGTATTTATTGGTTAATTTAACTAAGTACTCTCTAAAAAAAAAAACCTAATTCTCAAACCAAAACTCATAATGCTAACACACTCACAATTATGTACACAAAAAAGCAGCTGTAGAATCAGTCTCATAACTCTGAGCAGTCACAATATATATTTACTTTAAACACAAACAGCATTCCTTATCCTTGCTCTCCACTTGAGAGCACTGCACTCAAGTATCTGTGGACTTAATAAAGCAGTAAACACATCTGTTATTCTTTATCACTTACTATATGGGATTAGAGATAAATAAAATCAGATAGAAAAACCGACTCATCTCCATATTTTTTTTTCTCTCCAAACAACTCCCAAGAAGAAGAAAACACATCATTTCCTCACAAAAGTATTATGGCTTAACCATATATTTAGAGGAATATTGATCAGCTAACTCAATGGACACATTTCACAGAAATGTGAACTTTAATCTGTCAGGCCCTCTGAGATGTCACCTAAGAATCATCCAGAAGGGCACAACTGGTGGAGAAATCTTTGACAATGTACTGTCACTATTATATTTCAACTGGTAGCTAAAAAAAGAAAGCATTGGAAATAGAAAAATATACTTCAAAATAAACTCTCATCTGTTATTCCACACCCAGGACAATCCACAGCTGTGTGAGCAGACCCTAAAATGACCCAGCCAGGGCTGTCAGTCCATAATGGGACACTGTGTGACAGGAACATGGTTTTCCATTTCCTTCTACCTGCTGTTCCAGCCTATAATCAATTTTCTTGCTACACATTCTTTCATGGAGTACTCCTAAGATTCAAAGGACAGATGTTAGGATGCCTTTCGTTATAAGTCAGTATCTTAATGATTACATTAAAATATCAATGTAAAAAAATAAAGTACACAAACTGATCATATTACAATCCCAATGTCATTTTTCTGTCTAATGATATCCAGTATTTCCATCTTTGTTCCCAATATAAAACAAAAAGCTGTGCTTGCTGTTTCAAATGTACTTGCCACTTAAAGCAAGCAAAAAATTAGTAGGAAGGATCAAAAAAGTTACATATATGTCCAGCATGTGATAATTTAAATTGGTAACAAGGAGTAACAATGATGAAAAATCAATTGCAGAGTGAGCTGCATGACCAGAGGGAACACCAAAACTACAATTATCTTAATCTAAGGCCTACAAATCTGAGACAGAACAGTGCTCCAAGTAGAAAACAAAGTAAAAAAAGCTTCCCTTTGAGCTGAGCTATTGAAATGTAGTAACAAGTTACTCTTCCGTTTTTGGCAAATGAACGAATTGCAGAAAACAGTAAATGAATTTTTTTCTATTGCAGCCATAAAAATTACTATATTTAGTTCTGCAGTTTGGCATGAATAAAATCGATTAACACAATTCTGGAAGAGAAATTCTTTATACTTTTTCCAACGTTTTAAACAAGGCCCTAGTGATATTATTTTTGAAATCCATATAGAGTTCAAGATTTTGCTTTAAGCCTCACCAATTAATGTTAAGATTTATTACTCAGAACAGCAGTAAAATATCTTAGCAACACACAGAGATTCATTAAGTTCATATGCTGGGGGTACTTTACTATGCAATGCTGCATGAAGTATCAATATAAAATAAAATAGAAAATTGATGATCAAATTAACTTGCATAAAATATTATCTATTGCAAATCACAAGACCACATCATCCAGCTGCTTGGTGGTGAAGAAAGTGTGTTTAGAACCTAAGTGTAGTTCCTGTATTAAGGTTTAAAGCTATTTTACTGCATCAATTAGTTTATTTCAATCCCTTTTAATTGCCCATAAAGCCAAGCTTAGGATCGTCTCTCAAAAACAGACCAATTGCTCCCTCCACTGGAAGTAACCGATCATTACACCAGGGTGCAGAGATCCGCAGATAAAACGTGCATTAGTAAGAAGTGAAGTTAAATCAGAGGTTTCCACTTAATTACTTGATAGTAGGCTAAGATTTGACAGACTGATAACCTGAACCTTTCGTTCTCTTACCAGAAAGATTCACATACACAGTTTTACAAAATCTAAAAGCTTAGTAGTAGAGAATGTAGAAGAAGAGGCAAGGCAACTGAAACATGGAATTATGAAATCACAGATGCACTGACCAATCACTGTGGTTTGGGTTAAAAAGGACCTTAAAAACCATCTCTCCTCCAGTTCTAATGTCCTTCACCTTCCACTAGGCCAGGCCAGACCGGATGGGGCTCTGAGTGGCCGTAAACACTTCAAGGGATGGGGCACCCACAACTTCTCTTGCCTACCTGTTCCAGTGCATCACCACCCTCATAAGGAAGCATTCCTTCCTAATATCTAATTTAAACCTATTCTCCTTCAGTTTAAACCCACTCCCCCTTTTCCTGTCACTACATGCTCTAGTAAGTAGACCCTCTCCACCTTTCTTGTAGGCTCCTTTCAGGTACTGGAATTAGGTCACAATTAGGTCACCCTGAAGCCTCCTCCAGGCTGAACAATCCCAATTCTCTCAGCCTTTTCTCACAGGAGAGGGGCTCCATCCCTCTATCATCCTCATGTCCCACCTGTGAACTTGCTCCAAACACATCTGTCCTGAACATTTTCAGACTCAGTAAAATGCTCCCATCAATTTTAAACACAAGGAATCTAAAATAAAGAGTACTGCACTCCACCGGCAGAGACAAGCAGGAATAGTTTTTAATGGAGAATCTTCTGCATGGGGATCTTCCTTGCAAAACTTATGTGAAAGCTGAAAAGTCTTAGAAAATATTCATGTGAAGTACAAATCCAGTGAATTTAAAGAAGCAAAACTTGACATACAAAATCCCAGACCTAACAAGAAAAATGTTGATTTGTGCACAAAGTGAATTTCAGTCAGGTCAAAGTAAAGTTAATTTTTAGCATTTGGTACATGCAAAAACTTACTCTCATTTCTCAAATACTCTAAGAAAGAAAAAGTTGTATTTCATTAGCATTTTTCAATAGCTTTATCTGTGATACTGCTTACCTACAGACATCCTTAGTGAGAACCTAGCCCAAGGTTCTCACTAAGGTTCTCTTGCTCAAGGAGTCAGGGGTGCTAAACTTGGTGATTGCAAGGTCCCTGCTGAATACCAGTAACACATCCTTGCTGAATAATGAAGCAGTAATGATGCAGGTCAGAAACCAAATGTCTTCAGGCTTTTTATTGAGTCAAGACATCCCAACTCACTTACATAAATATTGATTATATCAAGAGTTCCGTGCTGATAAAAGCAATGCCTTCAGCCTCAGCTCCTGTTGTTATCCCCATCAGTGGTGCACAGTCTCAGAAGCATCAGCTAAAATGTGCTCAAAATCAAAGATATTTCTCCTGTAAGTCCCTCTATCAACTCAGCAGCATTGAATAATATGATACTGTTAACTGAAGGTTTACAATCCTGTTAAACAGTAAAAATATAAAGCAAACATCCCACTCAACAGCAGTTTTCCTTGGAAAAGAACACATAGCACACAAAAATTAAGTGCTTGGTCTTCTCATTAAACAGGTTGGTTACCCACAAAACCAAGCTTCAACAGCTTTCACAGCCTGATCACTTAGGAGGGATTTTGTAGCTGCCCTCCAAAAAATTCCAAGCATACCCACAGAAGAAATATCTGTTGTGTTAATGAAAATTCCTGGAAAAACACTTCCAAGAGAATGATATGTAGTGCTAATCACAATTCAGTTTATTTATTGATTAGCTCTTACGGTTACAGTAGTAGAATTGTGAAGTGCTACATTTATTACAGAATGTTTTGAAAAGCTTTGTTCTTCAGCACATAACCAAAAGTCTGGGACTGTTTGCAAAACTAACTTCAATGACATTTTACTGCACATGAAACAACCAATCCTTGAAAATGGAAAAAGAGGCAAAAAAAAGAGACAAAACAAATAGTTTAAGAACTTTGCTACACCTTGAACCAGGAACCCTTAGACCCGGGAAGTACATAAATCATATTACAAGATTACAGTGAGAAAAGAATCCACACAAAAATTTACTTCATGTAGTAAATTGTGTTTTGCTGAGAATTCAGCAGTTTCTAATTCTCACTGTACAACTAATCACTTTTAGTTACAGCATTTTAATTCTCAGCTGACCCCAGACACACTCTGCCATGACACAGCAGCAATTCCAAGTTTGCTTCCACAGGGAGAGAAAAGCTCATATAAAGTATGCTACTGTGACCAGAAGCCTGAAGAATGCACTTCTAGTATCAACAGTATTACAGACATTTTTTTTTTAAGCTATGACATTCTACTTACCTTAATGACAAATTTGTTGGATGCCATGATAAATCAGCGTAAGCTGGTCCTATAGAAATACCAATTAAAAGTGATCAGCACTGGAGAAACACTCAGATCTCTACAGCAATTGAGAAGGAATTTTACATCTGTGGCTCATTCCTTCATGACTATTGTTCTTCAAACCCTACACTCTGCTTTTCAAAAACAAGGAAAACTCTTATATAAAGGAAAATTACTTAGCTACCTGTGTTGGTTTCTTTCAGTGAAACTCGTAATTGTCCAGACACTTTGCATCTAACACAGGAAATACAAAGTTAGAACTCTTTCAACTATAAGAAACTATAGCTTCTGGCTCTTTTGGTATCTATCTATACATATACATTATATATATTTAAAAATTTATACTACACACATGAAGCAACATAACCTGAGTCTTACGGTGGTTGCACAAAAGTAAAGTGAACTTTGGACATCCTCCTCTCTTGCTTACACCAAACAGGACCTAAATCACTTCATTTGGGATCCTGAGTGATGTACATTGAGCTGCACAGCCCCTGGCTCTGCTTCAGACCATTCCATGTACCTCAGGAAGTGTTAATTTGCACTAAGAGTTGAACACTCCCTGGGCTCAAGAAAAAACCCTCACTTAATTGCTAAGGTTTTTTTCCAAACTGACAATTACAGTCACAGACTGAAGCTAGCTGGGAAGCTCATCATCCTCCACATAAACAGGAGCCAAAAACTGACTTATCAAAAAAGGGGAAAATCAGGTTAAACTCATGAAAGCCTTTCCAGCTAACTCCACAGTGTCAGGATTCAGGAGAGACATGCAATGAGCCCTATGGTACCAAATTAATAGCTACAAAAAACAGGACTACAAAAACTAAGATACATTCTATTTTCACACAGGGTAGGAAGAGAGCCAACAGACAACAAAGAGACTTGGACTGGTCAGAAAACCAGGTGAAGCAGACTCTCAGTAAAGTGGCAGGAGGTAGAGTATCCAAACAATACAGTTCAAGCTTCAAAATAAAGCAAATCAGTAGCTGTTGTCTGCAATTAATGAAGTGCAACAGAAACCACACAGAGAACAGAGCTGCCTTGTATAATCTAAAGTTTCCTAAAGGATTAGTCTCTTTAAATGGACAAATCTAGTAAATTTTGTAGGAGATGGTATAGGAAAACACTAAAAATTGAGGAATGTGTACACCTTACCATTGTATACTTCAAGTTATTGTTAAGTGTTGCAATAGAGCTGTCAAAATTTCAGGACAAAAGTCAGGCCGGGGATAGGTGTTTCCATCATGAACTACATTTCAAAATGCAGTCATTACCACTATTTAATTTCAAAAAAATGCAAAACAAGATAAACACACACTTCGCAACTACACAGCATAGCACAGATTATTTTAATCTTGAGATTCTTAACAGTCCTGCACACAGAAGCTAGAATACCATCATGCCTTGTGCCATGCCACTGTCATTCTCCCTTGCACCAAACAGCCCTGGAAACATCTCCATTTTATCAGATTAAATCCTGTCAGCTTTACTGATGGCAATTTTGAGAAATACAATGCAAGGAACAGAGCTCTGGACCACTTGAGACATCCAGGTTCAGTTCAGTCATGTAGTAAATTCAGCTGAACTTATCCTGGCATCACTGATCTCTTTCTGGTAACAATTTACTTTCCAGAGTAGTACTGTTGCAACAAGTCTGCTACTACTTATGTGAAAATTGCTGGCAGGCAGAAATCCCCTCCAAATACAATTTACAAAATAATAGAAGAAAAACATAAAAAGGAAAAGGATGCACAAGAAAAGTTAGCTTTGGTTCAGTTTGCTCTTCCTGGGAGTAAGCTGACTTTGGGAGTTTGCCAACTACCCCATTCTTTGCACTGACCACAAAGATAAGACAAAGGAAATACAGCAGACAGACAAAATGTAAGCAAATCCACAGAAAACAAAAAGGAAAATATTTTATGTGTGAACCATCAGGGAAATCACTAAAGTGACACAGGTGAAAAAATACTCAATACTAAGACATCAGAAGATGAGAAAAAATACTCATCAACTGTTCAAGAAAAAAAACTAGCCCCAAAAAAACAACCCTCAAAATACTTTGCTATTTCCTGTGTTTAAAAAAACCAAACACCAAAAACACAGATCTGTTACAACTGTTACTGTTTGACAGTCAGATTCTGTCTCACATAATGCTTTTTCTGTTGCACACCTCTAAAGTAAACTCTGCATAAGGATTTGCATACAAAGATAAGCAAATACAGCACAAAAACCCCTCACTAAACTATACACACAGACACACACATATATATATGTATATATATATATATGTCCTGATGTGGGATGTATAGTATTCCAAGACCTAAAATATTGATACAACCTGTGCACAAAGACATGATTTAGAATTAAATATATAGGTTTCCCCGTGGCTAGAGACACAGTTAGAAAATAATGTGGCAGAATGTTTTTCTTTCCTAAATTTGAGTCAAACAGAGCAGCGTATACTCAGGAGAAGCCAGAAAACATGGTCACCCAGAGAGCAAGCTCAGGGTGCTCTGACAGCTGATGAACAGCATCTTACCTTAGCAAAGCAGTTTCCTGTAGTGAGGAAATTAAGAACTCGGGAGGGATGGGGAACTGAAAACTCCTGGCACACTTGGAGATACAGCAGCAAACTTCACCCGCTGCTCATTGCCGGGTGCCTTTAGCACACGTGGGGAGAGGGGACACCTGAAAACGGCAAACAAACAAACAAACGCTGATTAAGGAACTCTGTAGGGTATGTTGACATTAACCATTTTTGTAGTTCAAAATGAACTATCACAACCTACAAGAGGAGTTTTCTGAACTTTCCCGTCCAGCACTTGTCAGTTTCCGGGAGTGGATCCTAAACTTGGGATGAGCAGCACAAGGCTCAGCTACTTACACATCCAGTAAAGCATCTCTAGTTCTGAAAAGACACACCACAATCTTCCCATTTGCCATTCAGGGTCTCTATGTACACTGCTGCTAGTTACTCCACTGAACCCTTAAAAAATACTCTTCCAGCCAGTCAGCACCTTTTCTCCTCGCTGTTATTCACACTCCTTCATTCATAAACTGCCCATTCACCTTTAAGGCTCAACAATTTCAGTTTCAAAAACATGACCCAGTCACCACAGAACTGCCTAGAACTAGAGGGACGAGAAGTTCTGAGGAGCATCAGAGGGCCATCACAAACAGGTAGTTACTTTTTACCTTTCATGGGACAGCTGAAAGCAATTAACAATGAAAAATTACAATTAAAAAGATCATACTCCGTTCTGCATGGACATCAGGCATTAAATACTTGTCTTTTGGCTATAGTCATAAACTCTGCAACCATAAACGCAATTGAAAACAAGCCCGTTCATTAACACATGAATATAGAACAAGATACTCTTGACAGCAACTGCAGTAGAGAGAAGAGTGAACACAGGAGCGGTATTACTGTATTCACAGAAGTATTTCTTCTACTTACAAGAGTGAATACAGGAAAAGTGAATACAGGACAGCAGAAGAGCTAAGAAAAAGCGGAGGTCAGGGAACAAAGTTTTTTGAATTTGTTTTGGCCAGGGCACTTCTGCCCGCCCACAGGAAGTCTCAGACAGCTGGTGTAAGGCAGAGTGGCTGCAGTAACAGATACGCAAGGAAGAAAAATCAGAGATAGACAGATATATATATACACACACATATTTTTAAGCCTGGGCAGTGCCTGGCCAGACTAGACAGGGGTGAGGAACGGGACAGAGGGGCTGAGGCAGCGGATGAGGGAGAGTCGGTGGAAGCCGAGCAGCACCGCCGCCAGAGCCCCGGCTCTCGGAGCATCCCCTCAGAGATTTAAGCGAGGAGAAAAGAGGGGCTGGAGCCCTAGGGGCAGCCGCAAGAGCCGAGCGGCACAAAGCGGCCATACCCTCCCCACGACGCGCCCGCCTCCCGCCGCTCCTCTGCCCTACCCAAAATGGCCGCGCCCGTCGCCGCCGCCCGCCCCACGCTGCCCGCACGCAAAATGGCCGCCAGCGACCGGGGCGGGCCCGGGCTGCGAGTGACGCTGCGCTCGCCTAATGGCGGCAGCGGAGGGGCGGCACGTCCGGGGTCGTGCTTCTTCCGCTTCTTCTTCTTCCGGCTGGGGCACGTTTGAACGTGTAGGGGCCGGGTGAGTCTTCGCCGCCCCGCTAGCACCTTCCTCGCTCGCTCCCTCCCTCCCTGAGGAGAAGTCTCAGGTGCACCGTGCCCACGGTCTGTGCCCGAAGGAGCCGCTGCCCCCTCAGCCGCCCGCACTTCGAGGTCGCCGGGTCGCGGTGAAGGAGGAGGAGCGGGTTGTGAGGGCTCCATAGCGTGGTGGAGAGGTGGTTGGTAGGGTGGGTTACACCTATTAGCGGCATGGGTGGTGTAGGAGCATTTCTTCTCCGAGTTACAGCTTTGTAGCCGCTCAAACCAGTGAGGTTTTTTGGTGTAAAACCCGAGTAAACGCGCGAAATCCCATGGAAGGTAGTTTTTACCAGTTTCTTATTATATAAGAATTAGTTTATTACTCTCTTTGTAATTGTGCCGCTTCTGAGTACCATAAGGTGGTCAGGCAAAGCTGCACAAAGGTAAAGTGGTTTCAGAAGCATCACACCTTGCTTTGTCTGCAATTTAAAACTTCTGTATTGCTTTACAGAGTGTTGTATTCCCTTAGGAACTCAGCAACTCATTGAATTTTATTAGCTATAGGGGGGAAGGTGTATTTTGAACCTGCTTTTGGGCTTCAGATATTTACCATCTGAGCAGTAGTGCTTGTAATTAGATAAAGCTTTGTTGTGTTTAAGATTTAGCATGCCAAAGCTCGAAGCAAATTGCAGCAATTAACATTTCAAAATGTCTGAATTGAGGTTATTTTTATTTTTTTAGATTCACAAAGTAAGGCTTTTTGTTTAGTGTTTTAGTCATCTGCTCCACTGCAATTAAAGATATTAACATTCAGCTTCATCTGTTCAGTGTTGTTATTATAGAGTAAAAAAAAAAAAGTATTTCTAGAATATGTTTAAAATAATAAATTATCTTTACCTAGGTAGATGCCAGTTTGCAATGGCTCTTAAAACCTTCTGGAAGGACAACAAAGTTCTGATTGTTATGGGAACTAGCCTGGGGCTAGTGCACTGGGGCTGGTATTACCTGAAGTCCAGTCCTATTTTCCAAGTGAAGACAGAGGATTTTGTTCCAGAACCTGGGATTGTGGCAATCATGATGCAAAGAGATCGCAAAAATAAAGAAAAATAGTATTAGTACTTTGATTTTTGGGTAAGTTGCCTAATTAGTTGGATCTGTGTCATTGAGGGAGAAGATGAATTAATTGAGAATTTTCAAACAGATACAGCCTTGGTGTTCTAACTTTAGTCTTTCAGAGTTTTATTTTTCTTTGCAACTGAGTTAATTTTTTGTACCTACGTGGACCCAAAAAGTGCATCATAAATCTCAAAAAAAAGTTTACTTTTTACTGCTAAATCCCAAATGGTGGGAACAATTAAGTGAGGGTATTATATTTCTTAAAGGTATTTTAAAACAAGCTCCAATAACTTCAAGACAGCAATAAAGCTCTTGTGGCTGGATCTATAACATTGTCCTTTCAAGCTTAAAACTGCCCAGAAATAATTGTGACTGTATATAGTAAGATATTCCATGTTAGTGGGGATGGTGATTACAATGGAGAATGAAACTAAATGAAGTACAAGTGTAAATAGTGTAGAGTTTGCATAGAAACATAAATAAACATTGTTTTATGTTTTACTGTTTTAAGAACTGAAAAACTTTGTGGGCATCTTGATTTAAGAAACCTTTGTTTGGGCCAGATTTCTTAAATTTGTTTGAACATCAAAAGCTGTTGTTTCTGTTGCCTGGCAAGCACTGCTGACTAGTTGAGTTCTTTTGTTCTTGAGTAAAGTCAGGTGGCTATCACTGTAGTTTTGATACTTCAGTGCAATTCAGTGACATTTATGGTAGCCTGCTACTTATAGACCTGCTGGTAACAGTATAGACCAGTGGTCAGAATTGAAGTTATTATTAAACAGGTATAATTGATGCACTCTCTATATTTGTAGTAAAATCATATTAGTAGATTTTATCAGTTAAAAAGCATTATAGAATGTATAGGCCAGTTGAAGTTTGACAAGGCCCAGTGCCGTGTCCTGCACTTGGGTCACAACCCCATGCTGAACTACAGGGAAGAGTGGCTGGAGAGATTCCCGGGAATGCTGGTGACAGCAGCTAGACACGAGCCAGCATGTGCCCAGGTAGCCAAGGGAATGCTGGCCCAGACCAACAGTGGTGTGGCCAGCAGGACCAGGACAGTGATTGTCCCCTGTGCTGGGCACTGGTGAGGGGCACCACCCTTCAAAGAGGAGTTTGAGGTGCAGAATGAGTCCCGAGAAGGGCAGTGGTCCCGTGAGGCGTGGCTGAGGGAGCTGGGGGTCTCCAGCCTGGAGAAAAGAAGGCTCAGAGCAACCCCATTGGTCTCTGCAAGCACCTGGAGAGGCTGCAGGCAGGTGCGGCTCAGTCTCTTCTCCGAAGTAACAAGTGCTAGGACAGGAGGAAACAGCCTCAGATTGTACCAGGGGAGGTTTAGATTGGTTATTAGGAAAACTCTTCACAGGAAGGGTTGTCAAGCACTGGCACAGGCTGCCCAGGGAGGTGGCTGAGTCACCATTCCTGGAGGTGTTTAATGGATTACATAGATGTGGCAATTGGGGACGTGGTTCAGTGATGGCTTGGCAGCACTGAGGTAACAGCAAGACTCTAAAGATCTTTTCCAACCTAAATTATTTTTTGATGCAGTATTTGTCTTTCTGTGGCTTTTTTGGTGAAAACTAAAATAGGTCAAGCTGTGCAATATTTTCATAAGATTATTCTAATACCTTTCTGGTTTTTATTGTAGGTATTACTAAGCTTGGAGGTTTTCATCTGTGACTGTTGCCAGAAAAGATGAAGAAAACTACCTGGAGTAGAAAGAACTTTCTGCTTGTAGCAGGACTGTCACTTATAGGTGTCCATTTAGGAAGCATGGTTGTAAACTTTGTTGCAAAAAAGTCTGCTCAATCTCATTCAGAAGCTAAAAGAGATCGTCAGGAATGAAATAGCTTCCTGCTATCAGTCACTATCAGTTTTGCAACGTGATTTAAGCCTCGTTTTAAGAGAGCTGTGATGAGTCGTTTCAGGAATGTTATATATACTGTTTTGCACTGAAAATAATCCTTACCTGCAAAGAATTAAAATGTACTACTCTTAAAATTTAAAAGTGCAGTGAATTGTAGATCCAAGTAAAAATGAAATGTTTGCCCAGGATTAAAATCTTGCCTTCAAAATGTCTCGCCTTGAAGCTAAAAAGCCTCCGTTATTTATTAGTGAGCCTTTAACTGGAGATGCAGTGAGTCAGTCACTGTCTCTGCTGACTGGAATATTAAAATCTTCCTACGGTCCTGCTGGTCGACTCAAACAGCTCCACAATGGTGTGGGGGGCTCTGTTTGTACCACTTCCCAATCCTCAGTCCTCCTGGGGCACCTTTCCGTCAGCCAGCCCGTGCTGCGTGTCCTGACAGCCTCTGTACGGAACCACGTGTCACGTTTCAGTGACTGTGGCTTATTCACTGCCATTCTTTGCTGTGGCTTCATTGAAAATTTCAGGAGCCTGAATGTTGCACCTTTTACTGTCATTAAAATAAGCAAGCATCTTCTGAGTTTGTGTATGGACCACCTGAAATCTGAGGCTTGTGGTTGCCGGGTATCTGTGGATTTTAGCAGTGTTGAGACTCTTGTTTGTTTGGTACGTAGCATTTTAACAAGCAAACCTGCTTGCATGCTTAATAAAACTGAAGTTGATCATCTCACCTCACTGGTTTTAAAGGCTTTTATATTTACTGTTCCACGTCATGTTGAGACTAATGCTGTTTTAGGGAAGTGTGTGATAATACCTGTGAAAGGTAGAAGAGTTGTGGATTCTACAGTTCTTCCTGGACTGCTGATAGAAACACCAGAAATCCAGTTGGAAAAACCACTTGCTGTCAAAAGGACTGGTTCAAACATGATCAAGATTGCACTTTTCAGTGTGTCCATGTCAGGTGATGGCTTTAACCCTGAGGAAGGAACTATAGCAGTCCAGCACGGAGTTTCTCTGGAAGTGTCAGAGCTGAATCAGTTGCTTAATGTGGGAAAGCAGCTGGTTAAGGACGAGGTGGGCCTTGTAGTGTGCCAGAAAGTAATGCATCCCTCCTTGAAGCAGTACCTGAAGGAGAACGGTGCCATGGCTGTGGACAGGGCTGGGCTGTCTCTGATGGAGCCCCTGGGCCGCATGACAGGTAACGGGCCAGTTCTCTTCTCTAAACCATTGTCCTGGAGTTTTCACTGGGAGGTGAACATTACCTGGGGTGGTGTCATTGCACAGTCAGGAGACTCTTATTTCCCTCTGTATCCCACCTTAGCAGCTGAGCAAGAGTTGTTCTTTTCTAGTCTGAAAACCATTTTTCAAGGTGAAGTTGGTCTTCTGCAGGCCCTGATGGTGGCATACCACAGGTGTGTTACTACTGCTTGCTGCATGAGGGATATCTAGTTCCAGTAACTGTTTATTTTCTAACTCTGATTCAAGGCAAATGAAACAATTACTTTTTTTATCTCAAACTGCCACCAAGTCTTGCACTCTAAATGTGTTGGTTTCTATGATTTCCTGTGTGAATTGGAATGTCAGGCATTGAACAATGAATATAAGTTAAAAACCCAAGAGGAATAAAGTTTATGCTGTATGAAATATATCAGCTAGCTGTTCTGATGGTACCACATACTGTTTTCTCCTTTTTTAATTGACAGGTTCACAACCTATAGCTTCCATACATTCATTGTCTCCTGGCTGTTATGGCAGTTTGAAAGATTTGCACATTGAGGGTTTTGCTTCAAAGCATTTTCTACATCTAATTCCTGAGGACACAGTTGTCTGCAGCCTGATAC